AAATCGATAATTCGGTAAATCGATAACTCGATGAATGGATAATTTGGAAAATCGATGGCTCGATAAATCGATATCTCGATAATTCGATTACTCGGTAAATCGATATCTCGATGATTTGATTACTCGGTAAATCGATAATTCAGTAAATCGATAACTCGGTAAATTGATAATTTGGAAAATCGATAACTCGATGAATTGATAATTTGGAAAATCGATAACTCGATAATTCGATTACTCGATAAATCGATAACTCGGTAAATCGATAATTCAGTAAATCGATACCTCGGTAAATCGATAATTGGATAAATCGATAACTCGATAAATCGATAACTCGATGAATCGATAATTTGGAAAATCGATAACTCGATAATTCGATTACTCGGTAAATCGATATCTCGATAATTTGATTATTCGGTAAATCGATAATTCGATAAATCGATAACTCGGTAAATCGGTAAATCGATAACTTGATAAATCGATAATTAGATAAATCGACGACTCGATAATTCGATAAATACAAAAATTGATAAATTGATGATTTGCTTTTATTTGACAATTAAGCAACTTATTAACTGGGTAAATTGATGAATTGATAAATCTATAAATATATAGTTGATAATTTTAAAAATTGAAATTACATAATTTATAACTCTGCAATTTTAGTATTTCCATGTTCCCGAATTTCTAAATTTCCATGCTTGAAAGTTTGAAATCTCCATAATCCATTTTGACCGCAAATGCCCACGAGTTAAATGGCGGACATAAATTTACCCATCACTGGTAGTATATGTGTTTCCTTTGCACGTATTTGCGACGAATTTGTGAATGTCACGTGGTTTGTGCAGTCCGTGTTTACGTGCAGTGATTTGCAAATAATTCTACTAATTGTAAATAACGTTTCTAGACGATTTGTTCTCGAATTGGCTAACGATTTTCCAAGGTTTAATCAACGATCAGGTACGAAGGAATTACTAGATCGAGATTTGGTCCAATCTGGACGTATTCTCTAGCGTGAATGGGCCTTTTACGTAGAAAAACATCGATTTAAGCGAGTATAATGTATTTAAAAGTCTCGTTGTCAGTCACGTTCTTAGATTAAACTTTGTACCACCGCTGTTTTCGCTCGTACACTGTTGATTGGTTAAAATCGAAAAGAAACAGTAGTAACTTCAGAGAAATCAGTTGTAAAGTAACATTGTATTTTAATGATTGTTATTGTGAAGCTTATAACATCAACATTCTCTTAAACTTTTTAATTTAAACTTCCGATAACATTAATTAACACGAAATCGAACGAAAATCATAGACACATGTAACGTGTAGAAAAAAGAAAGGAACGAAAAAACGCCGACATTCCTAATTATATTTTGATACAAGTAACACGTAGCTTTTCGATCGATGCCGGGCTCACGGCGCATTTTAATATTTACCCCTTTTTCTCTCTCTCATGAGATCTTTAAGTACAATGCTGCATAATAACACGACTCGAACATGCTACCGATATAATCGTTTATGATAATTGGTCCTGAAAAAATGATAGAACCAAAGACTGGTTAATTGCGGTTACGAATTCAAAGCGGCATCCACGCGCGATAAGAAAAACCGGATCCCACAAACGATTTCGGGATCCAGCAGGAATGATATTATCTAACAATCTGCCTTTCTACGTGCCTACACTTATACACCTCTATCCTACGCTTCCTATATTACTCGTGATGATCGATTTTATGCATATTAATGACTGCTCTTCTTACACCGAAACAATGTACCACTTTGCCGAATGAAATGTCGATGAATAGATAATCAAATCGCCGTTGTCGATTTTATGAGCTGGGAGATTTATACAGTGTTGTCCACAAGAGATACTTTTGACACGTTTCTTTTTCTTCAAGATTTATGGACCAGATAATTAGGTATACTTCGATCAGTGCTGTCCGGAGAACCTAGTATGGGAACATGTTTAGGTATCGGATATATAGAACTTGAGTGGAAGACCAAAACGTTTGGAGGTTCCTTCATGTGGACAACACTGGGTCAGATTAACGTGGGGCAGATTATGATCAGCTTCCATAGATCAGTGTGGGTTCTTTCATAGATCTTGTGGATGTCTGTAAACGGTTCTGAGAATAGCAGCGTTACAGACTACTATTTCCGTAAATAAAGTAGACGGATTTATCCACGGACACTGTTATAGATCAATGCTCCCACAGACATAGTCCACGGAAGTCCACGGCATTAAAATTTAATGAAACCTACTCTGACACTTGTCACAGCCATAAGTAGATCACAAGTGCTGTGTGGACTCAGAGGCAAATAATTTGAGAGCAGAATCTCGTGGACAACATTGGCATAAACATTTCCAGCGTATGATTAGCATGTGATTGCGTTATGTATACAAGCATGAGATGTATCGAAAGCTTCGTTAAAAAAATATAAGGAAAGCTTGGAACAATGTTTGATATGCATGTTTGAGGTGTTAGATGTAGATTCCAAGCGATATAACGATTTATGCAAGCTTATGTATCGGCAAAGTCGTACGCGTTCTTTCAAGTGGCTTAACGTACTTTTTTCTGGACTAGATACTCTGATCGGCGATGGTATTCTGGCATCGAGTCTTCGAACGACCTTAAGGTCGAGAAACTTAAAAGCAAAATTACCGAAACAGGGTGATGTTTCGTTTCTCTGTGTATTAACGCTACACTAAAGTTACAGAGTCGCGCGAATGATTGCTCAGGAGTAATATCGAGAGGATCAAACTCGTGAGTCCTAACTCGTGAGCAATCAGTCGCGATTTGCAAATTATATCAATACAAATAATATATTAAATTAACGGTACATCGTTGTTAAATAAATCAACATTTGACTTCATTGTTTTATAACGTACGGAAAAAAGACCTAAGTACACAAATAAAGATTCCTACGTCTAACCAAACGTTTCTATTGTTTTTTTTTCACTTTTCACGTTTTGTAATGTACAGGTAACTAAATCGAGAAGAGTGCTTCGTTTTGTAATCGACGTTGCACATTGTTTGAATGTTCCTCGAGTTTGCACTTCGAGCAACATCGATTTTTCGATAACTCGGTTGTATAGCGTGCAAGGTATAACAGGTACACAATTAAATGTATTATCGTATCAACGTTGCAATTCTGGAAATACATGGAATAAAATTCGTCGAAGACATTTTTAGGTTAACATAGATTTCTGTCTCTGTTTCGTTAGGTTAGCACAAGTGGTCTGCCATATTTAACGTTCTACTTGAAAATAAGTTGATTAAACACTTACGAAAAATAACTGTAGGCAATAAAAGTGTGGAAACAAAGATTTGTGAGTTTGAATTATACGACAAACCAGTTGGACTAATCTAATGCGTTCGAATTCGAAGAGGTGCAGGATTTATGATCAGCAGTAAAGCATTACGAAATCGTTGAGTACACCTAACACTCTCTCCATGATATTTTCTTTTGTTACGAATAATTAATGTTACTACTAATATCGTTATCGGTAGTGATATCGTTACATGCTTATTACAACTTGATCACGTGCAATTTATCTGGTGAAGGTTGCGTGAAACGTAGAGTACACGTACTATGCTCGAAAGAAGAAGAAAAAGAAAGATCGAATCGCACGGGGAATCGAACGTTCTAGTTTCTACGATGAGGCTGATTCGAATGGACTTCATATATGAGATTATCGACAATTGAGAGATCTCTGCGTGATATTTACAAAGTTACGATGCATTGCTCGACGACGATTGGACGAGGGAAGGAGAACTCGAAGAAGCGTTAAGGCCCGTTTACATGGATGTTCATTCTCTTGGTCCGCCCAAGCCGAGCTAGAGAATTTCTAGTTGGTCGACTTAGGGGAGAAAACGCGGTGCATCGAAGAAAGGTATTTCTTTCGAGGACTTCTAATAAAACGTGCTTCTTCTTAGCTTTAAAACACGTACCCACGCAAAAAAACGCTACATTTATTGTACCTATCAACCCGTTTACTTTTTTTTCTCTTTTCTCTCTTTCAGTCGAATTCGAAGCATTTTAAGGTCAACGATGCGATAAAATATATGAACATTATTTTTTTTTTTCTCATAGCAGTCAAACTCAGTTAATACTGTATAAAGTCAGTTTTCTAACAATCGTTTTTTATCATTTCTCGAAGGATACATATAGTATATATAATATATTTATATATAATATATAATGCTTTGTAGATCTCGGGACGTTCGTAAATTGTTTCGTAAGTTTAGCCTGAAACGTATCGTTAATAGACAACTATGCTTCTTTTCATTCTCAAACGAATTCGTGGTTCCTTCAATTCCCAAGATTAAGAATCACCGTGGACTCGTCACTAATCTTCTTCTTTTTCCTTTCTTACGCTCGTTATCCGAGAAACAGTTCAACGAAATGATAACGCAAGTTATACAATCGGTAGGCCTATTATGTTTTGAAAAACAATAACAGTATCTATATATATATATATGTATATAACACGTGGTAAATATATACAGTGTGTTTCATAATTAGCAGGACTCCATTCAATCATGGATGGAAGACACAAAGATAATAAAAAAAGTTCGTTTCTTTTGTTTCAATATTCAATGGAATTTTTATTAATTTTAATATTTCTTCAACGCATTGAATTTAATCGATTTATTATAAAGACTCTAATTGATGTTAAATTATGTGAGGAATATAATTGAATTATTAAATAAAGAAATAATACTGAAATAACCTCAAACTGAAAAAAATTATTTAAGTATGAGAAAGTTTAATATAATTGAATAATTAAAGGTAATATTAAATAATACTGATATACTAACAAGAATAGTATAACCTCAAATTAAGTATGAGGAGTAAGAAGTTTAATATAGTTTAACAATTAAAGGAGGGAATATTTAATAATACTGATATTATACTAGCAATAGAATAGTAAAATATAACCTCAAAATAAAATATGAAATTATTTAATTATTATTAATACGAAACATAAGATTTCCCAAAATAGATCTTTTTATTTTTAATGCCACTTTTCATCGCTATTAAAAATGCCACGTTTTATGTATATATATTCATTAAACTGCTCATAAATATTACTAATCATATAGTTTTCTGTTTCTTGTCTGACGTATTCAAAAGTGATTTTCATAAAAAGTTACATAAGTATTCTAAACATTACTTCTTTCACAATTTTCGTGTCTCATCTTTTGTCGAATCGCGTCCCACACGTTATGAAACACCTTGTACACGAATATGTTTACAGTTTCACGTACATGCGTATGTATATTTTGAACGAACATGCAGAATCGCGGGAAAAACGAACACCCGTGGATAAAGATACATTGTTCACCAACAATTCCGCACATTCAGTCGGCAACTGGACGATCGAAACGACGTCTGCCTTTGTTCCGTTTCAATTTCACCGTGCGAACAAACCGCCATTCGCGCGGCCATCGATTATAACACTTTTGTCGATAAAACAAGTGAACTATGAAATTATACTAGTGAAAGTCTTGTAATCGAAGGACGCAGTTACAACAAAAACTTCTGTGGAGTTTATCCGCCAGTGAAACCGTAGAAACGTGCGTTCTCCGTAGGGAGATTTTTGAATTTCCCGCCAATGCAGTGGTCCGTGTCGATCGCTCGAGTTCCCTGTACAGGTAGCGCATAGTCTATGGTCGTTACCGGTACGAAGGTATCGCGATCGAAAGCATTGTCGTTTTGCAGGAAAGTAAAAAATGCATCGTTCTTTGATAAATTTGTACTTGAAACGAGGATCAAATAAATATTACTAAAAACAAGGGAGACACTAGGAAAGCGCGTTTGAATTGTACAAAAGAAATCATACAAAGATCGAGTTACTCTTACGACGACGAAACCGTTCAGTTTCTATTACGTGTATCGATTACAATATAATTATTATAACTATAAGTAATATTTTTTGCACGAACACGACTATCGATCTGTACAAACGTCGTTGATGTTCTTCACAACAGAACTTCACTACTGCTCACACGATCCAACACGATTTATATCGTATATATTATACGTCTATATATATTATTTTTGCCGTATACTATATACGCGGAATATATATATTTCTAATAAGATTAACAGCATCGCTATCTTATAAACACCTCAAAAACGTGCCACCAATTAAACAACGAACAGAACACGCTACCATACTAATTCCGAACTCGTATTTAAAAATGAACATACGCGTTGCAAATACTCAATGCTTCGTCGAGATACCTCGAAGAGGAGACGCGTTTTTTTTTTTTAATTCATTCGATATTACATCTACAGAAGAAAGTATAGTAGATATACGTATATACAAGACACTACACTCCATGAGAACATATTATTAATACTAAAACCATTTCTGGTGGTGTTTATTGTTTAGTTAGCAATAGATTATTATTAATATCTACTAAATTTATCCCCTTTGTTTCTTTTTCTTTCTCTCTCTCTCTCTCTCTCTCTTAGTATTCAAGTCTTTCATTCTACCTTTCGCTCTATCTTCCTCTCATCCGTCTCACTTTCTCTCTATCATCCTCGTGCACGATTATTTCTGTTTTTTTCATTTTTATATAGAACGACCAGCTACATCGAGAGATCGTTGCATCTCGTTATGTCTTTCTCTATTTTGTTTTTTCATTTTTTTATATTTTTCTTTGCACATCGTTCCTTTCGTTTGTCCAGAGAAATCCTGCATTCTCAGTACAGTGAATCGCGGATATCATTGGAAAATATACATATATATTTATATCATATAGTTTGTCGAGTGGGGCGAAAGCGTTAAACGGAAAACATACCGTAAACGAAAGAAATGCTTCTGCACATTTGTCGTAACTGCTTTAGAACCATTGGTGTGCATTACCTTAACCTGGACAATTTTCGAAACGAACTTAGTCTTTCTTGTCGCCGTCTTCAGGGTCTTTAAGCGTGTGCCATTGAGCAATAGGACGTCTCGGGGTTGACAACATGTCGGTCCAGTGTCTCAATTCTGTTCCACTTGCGTTGTGCCCCAAGACGACCTTCCCAATGGGTTCGGATGTGCCGATACGATCATAATCGACTACCGTGACAACCAATTGCACTTTCTAAACGTGAAATCACGTGTTAGTAGTCCATCTTGGATCGTGGATTACCATGTCTTCCGGACCGTAAGGCTCTAAGAATTATTTTTACAAGGCATAGCAAGATAACTTTAGCGATATAAAAGCTTCTTAGGAAAGCATAAAGGGAATATGGAAGGACAATTTATTAATATACTCATTTATTTTCAAATCTCCGTTAAAAAATAAATACTTGTATAAATAAAAAACTGTCTCAGTAATAAACTAATAAATGAAAAATAAAATAGGTTTGTAAATATCAGGATTTGGGACAAGGGGTATTTAAGATAATTTTAAATTGCACTTATTGTATATAAAAGCGATAAGCTTTTGCCAAACGAGCTCGAATTTTCAGCTTTATTTAAGCGTTTTCAAGAATCTGCTCTTCAGCTTCGAGAGCATGCAAAGCACTCAAAAATGCAATTTTCCTCAAGCCAGCATAATCTGAATATTATCGAAATAATTTTATATAAGAATAGGTTGCAATAAAGTATCTTACGGTCCGGAAGCATGGTACTTTGAAAAAAAGTCAGCAAAGTAAACCTTTCGTAAAGTGGCAGAAATTCAGTTATAAATATGAAAATTGGGAATATTTTTTATTTTCTTAAAAATAAGACTAATATTGAATATTTATTTTTCTTAAGAATTTAGATGGAACTACAGTATAAAGTAATTTTCAGTATATTAGTAGAATTCAGTGTACTCGAATACTGCCAGTTTACGAAATTTTTTTTAATCATCACATTACAGACGGATGTCTTCCTTAAAAATTTTAATTACTAAGAAAATTGCAAATGCTGATTGTCATTAAAATGATTTTATTTCACTAAATCATTTCATGATTTAATCCGTCTATAATGTATTTCAAATATTTACAAATATCTTATATAATAAGTATACAAAAAAATTTATGAATAAAGTAGTAGCAGTTGTTTTTGTCTAAAACAAACTTGAAAAAAAATCGTGTGCTAACTAAATTAGTAAGAATGTTAGAAAAAGTCGTGAACAACGTGTACCATTGTTGTTTACCTGTGTTTGTTGACTGTGTTAAACGAAGATAACGAAATAAACGGGTGATAAATAGTAAAACGTGAATGATACGAACCTGTATTTGCTCGAAGGGTACCTCAAACGTAAATGATTCGTTGTAATACGGATTAAGAGTGCACTTTTTGATGGACGTTTTCTTTTTCTTCAATCTCTTGCCATTTTGCATCAGAGCGATTTTCACATAGGGATCCGACAAACCACCGACGTCCATTTTCTTCAAGTTCTTCGCTTCCAAAATGACCACCGTTAATTTACCAGCTGTGGGCACGTATCGGAGCGAGAAGCATATATCTCCCAATTTATTATCCTGTAATAAATAAATACAAATATTATTTTAGTAACATGTTTAAGAAAAACATGTATTAATAACTTGATCGTTTATTTTCAATATTTCTTTAATTCTAATCAAGATTATTTTTAAAGATGATTATAAGCAGTAAATGCTATGTAGTAGTATATATTAATATGTTTTGTTACATTTGTATGTAACAATAATTTGCATGACAATAATATAATTAAAAAATAATGGTAATATTAAATTTAATAGAAAAATAATAGAATGCTGAAATGTATGGTAATATATTGATGTATGCATGAAAGTAATAAGAAATAATAAAATTATGTAGGTACAGCAATAATTTTATTATGAAAAAGGATTTGAAAATTTAGGAAAATGTAGAATTGCAAATTTAAAAATTAAAAGATTTGAAAATATAAAAATTGCTGAATGTGAATATTGTAAAGTTCACGTATTATGTATCCTTATTAATATGAAGCCTACACAGGAGTATATACATTCTATAATAATAAACAGTCAAATAATAAAGTGCAAGCATCTCAACTTGATCAAACTCATGTACCAAAAAATTTGAATCTCTCAATTTGTCTACGTCAACTTATAAAATTTTTCCAATGTACTTGAATGAATTTACCTGGCCACCCTCGCCCTCGACACTTTGCAGTTCCCTCCACTCTTCGATCGTCTGAGCCAAATCGATCTGGCAGAGCGGAACCTTCACTTCACCGATTTGGTCGTGTTTCGAGAACCTGTCGAAGTCGAAGATCGCGAAAACGAGAGTCTTGTTCATCGCGTCTGCGTATGGAACACCCTACAAAACAGTTATCACCGTTCACTTCCGTAAAAGAAGAAAGATTCAATTATCTAAACTATCTCCTAGAAAACACGATTCACTAACCTTGAATGTGAAAGTTTCGTTGAAAACCGGATTGAGAGTTTTCCTGTGTACTTTCGTTTCGAACTTCTTCTTTTTGTCCGGTAACAAGTACACCTTCACGTAAGGATCAGACGTTCCACCCATGTCCAGAGCCGGAAGTTCTTCGGCTTGTATCACCGTTACTGCCAGACTGTTCGTGTTGAAGTCGTATTCGAGCTGTAAATATCGAAGCAATTACCCTTTACAAAAGTACTCAATTTTTTAATGTTTGACAGCGAGGAGAGTGTGTTGTAGATTCTCTGTAGTCTGTAAAAAAACATCAGCTGAGTAAATATATTGTACACGTGAAGAAATGTTTGCGAAGTAGATAAAAGTATAGCTGTATAACAAATATCTGAAAATAATGAAGATAATTAAGAATCTGGAACAGAGGATTATTGTGACGAGTCAAAGAATGTTTGTTACTAAAATATTTGAAAGAGTGCGAAAAATTTGTCGAGTAAATTGGATGTTTGAGCTTGTTAAAAAATGTATAGGTACACACCTTGTACTGAAGCCTGCCAAGCTTCACCTCGCTCTGCTTGCTCTCAGCTTCATCCGGTTCCTCAGCGTTGTCGGTCAATTCTTCCATATCCGGCTGAACCTTAACAAGTGGAAGTGGATTCCACGAGTGTAGAATGTGCGTCTAACATCTACATAAAGACACGGACACCGAGTGACGTACCTTGTCCTTGTACGTGCTTCCTAACAGCTGCACGGACTTCAGATCCACCGCAGCCTTCAGCCCTTTTTTCCCATCCTTGGATCGTCTTTTGCGACAGCATCTTCTTATGCAGCAGAAGCAGATCCCCAGAACTATTACACCTACAGCTACTCGAGTAATAAACGGATGAATATTTTTAGTAATTGTTCCTGGTAAAAGAATGGTTAAGGTAATTTTATAGACGGATATTAAGTATAGATAATATAAACATAGACGTGTGCTTGCATGGATGTTAAAATATGCGAATGTAGAAGTTTTGATTATAATTATATTTATTTGGAATGTTTTTAGTTGTTTCCTGTATGTGTATTGATGATGAGGAACGAGTGAGAAATTTTACAATTTAAAAACTTTTTAGTGTTTACTGATACTTTGATCAATTGGGAATTTGAATTTTTGTAATAGTAAATGAGTATGTTTTGTAAATATAATATGTAAGGTTTACAGGTGTAATATTCTTAGATTTTATGTCTAGTAAATTTTCGGATTTATGAATTTTCATGCTTCCAAATTATCAAATACCTAAATTACTAAACTATCAAATTTCAAATATCCAAATTTCCCATTTCCTAAATTCCTGAACTTCCCAATTTCTAAATTTCCAAATTCCTAAATTTCCCAATACCTAAATTTCCCAATTTCTAAATTTCCCAATTCCTGAATTTCCTAATTTTTAAATTCCACAATTTCTAAATTTCCCAATTCCTAATTTCCCAATTCCTAAATTTCCCAATACCTTAATTTTCCAATTCTTAAATTTCTCAGTTTCTAATTTTCCCAATTACTAAATTTCCCTATTTTTAAATTTCCCAATTCCTAAATTTCCACATTCCTAAATTTCGATATTCCTAAATTTCCCAATTCCTGAATTTCCTAATTTCTAAATTCCACAATTTCTAAATTTCCCAATTCCTAATTTCGCGATTTCTAAATTTTCCAATTCCTCAATTTCCCAATTCTTAAATTTCCCAATTTCTAATTTTCCCAATTACTAAATTTCCCCATTCTTAAATTTCCAAATTCCTAAATTTCCCAATTTCTAAATTTCCCAATTTCTGAATTTCCCAATTCCTAAATTTCCCAATTCTTAATTTCCCGATTTCTAAATTTCCCAATTCCGAGATTTCCCAACTACTAATTTTCCAATTTACAAATTCCGAAGTTCCTAACTTCCCAAATTCCCAAATTTCCAAATTATCAAACTACCAAATTTCCAAATCTCCCGATGTACAAACTAAAATTTCGAAACTACTGAATTCCTAAATTTTCATGCTTTCAAATTTCATAAGTAATATAGAAACTTGAAATTTTGGAAATTTGAAATTGCAACATTTTCAGTTTCTCAAATTTGCATGTTATAAAATTATAAACAGGTTGGTGTTTGAAATATTAATAGCAATTAAAGTCATTTTTGAATGACTAATTTACCTATTAAAATGGCCACAAGTGCCGATGTTGGTATTCCCATTTCCTCTGCGAGCTCCTTTCCCAAAGTTTCCATCTCATTTTCTATCGATTTCCCAATGGGCTCCGATTCAGTCACCACAGTCTCCTCCGTAGCTACGAACAAATATTAATTACATCATGCTCTTACGTATCTTTATTACGTCGCTATAATCTGATATTAGATATCTGATATAGAGGGTATTATAGTACAGTATACAATATAGTAACACGTCACTCAATAAGTCTCCGGTCTAACTAAGAAAAACAAATTTTTTTTAGAAATTCCACTTTAATCATCAATATACGTTCCACTTTAATCATCAATA